ACTCGGATACACCAGCACACCTTTCACTGCTGTTCTTATTTATTGCCATACCCCGAGAAAAAGAAGAAGAATTTCAAAGTTTCTTTGACTCCAACACAATTTTTTACATTGCCACGCTTCCACCGACACTCCCTACACAGACATGCTGCCTCCTATCACGCGTGTTTTACTCTAAGACACTGTTCATATTCACAAGGATACACACATATGCTGTCAAGCTTTTAGCTTTAGCATCATAAATAGGCAAGGCGAAGAAGGCTTCGATCCCGAATCACAACGATGTATCAAAAACATCAGCTCAGCTGAAATCAACTCTTTCAGAATAGAGACACTGTCCAGAAGCTGTGCCGATAATCCTAAGTATCATCATTATCTATTACTCATGAAAAAGTCGCTTGCAAGAAAAACATTGAAGAAAAAAAGGCACACGTGAAATGAGAACAGAACACCGAGCTGAAGACCCTCCAACCGTACAGAGGAAAAATTAATCTTCAGTTACACATGCTAGTATAAAGGAATGGTTAAACAAGGAGGGTGTACACCAAAATTCCATTCTTATGCTCTGTATTCTCCTTGATTAATTCTGTTTACAGAACCAATTACTAATTACATCGGATAATTTAGCAAGCTCTGTAACAGCAGTATTTTAATAAGAAAATAACTGAACATTCATAGATTTGTTACTGCTCCCAGAATCCTGTGAAATGTTTTTCAGTAGATCCTTTCTGTAATAACATTGGAGTAACACAATAACCCCTACAGCATGAACAAGCGCAAGGGAGGGCAGTCTCCTCCCCCCCAGACGGAGGCCACAGCACCCCCTTCCTATTGACACGGTTCTGCCTCTGCCTGGTACCTGGAAAAAAAAATTAACCTCCTTGCACTGTTTACCCATCGCCGCCAGCAGACTGGGAAGCCACCATCCCAGCAGATGACAGCTCTATTGCTGAGGCACAAAAGAAGAGAAAAGAGGAAAGACACCTGCCTGCTGCTGCACTTGCACTGCAGAATTAAGCGCGAACATCGGTAACGCGTCTGACCTGAACACGTACAGGAAAGAAGACAGCACTTCTCCGTGAAGCTGTTTGTTAGCTCTCCATGTAAATATCCCCAGAATGAAACAGCGCCCATGTCCAACAGAGTAAAACTAAAGGTCTCACGACTGGCTTCACAGGGGACAGCTCTGACTTCAGACTTGGTGGCAAGAAACTTCTCCCCTCCCGTTACCCGCACGGTCAGCAGGCTTTACAGCTCCCGGCGTTACGGCACAAGCGACCGGTTTCCCCGGGACAACCCTCACCCACTCAGGGATTCACCTCCCCTGTTCTTCAGGGTTTAAAAGCCTCAGTGTTTATTTTAAAGTGCCAAGACTTCAAGCAGCGA